TTATTGAGGTATCACATAATATCGTTGATGTTAAATTATATATCAAAAAATTATGCAATTTTATTTAATTTGTGTTTCCCAAATTCGATTTTTTTTTTTTTTTTTTTTTTTTTTTTTTTTTTTTTTTTTTTTTTTNTTTTTTTTTGGATGGGAGGAGTTGAGTAAAAATTGAAGAGCATTTTGTAGAAGGGTGGCTCTTCAAGATACTATTAATTGAGGAAAATGCAATTGAAATTGTGTTTATTTTGATCACACTTAACCCTGTTGGGTAAATTTAACCCCGTTAGCTTCAATCAACCTATATTGAACTGAAAATTGACAATAGTTTTAATTGTTAACTTTTTGAGCTTTTCAAAACTTGAAGCATTGGCGGATCAAGAGGGGGCGATCACAGTGGTATGCTGCCATGCTAAGTTGAAAATCAGTAAATCCATAATTTGCCGCAAGTCCACTAATGGATCAGTTTAGAAGGTACAAATCAACACATTCTGATACATGTCGTAACAAGAATTTTACCTAGAACACGATTCACGCAACAGAAATTGATGAAACTAACTCTAATTGATCTGTTTAACATTTTTTGATGCGTGAATTCAAACCTTGCGCTCATGGAAAAATTAAAGTCTAGTTCAGACAAATTGCGCAGTAAGGGTTACTGTAACAGTCTCTGCGGTATGAAAAGATGGCAACCTTGATTTTGGATCTTCGGCTCAGCTGTTGCACGTAGTTAACACCTAGAACAATACAAGGCAGGAAGGAACATGGCTTGATTAAGAAGCCTGCCGAAACTGTTGTGGTAGGTGTGATTTGATTCAAGTAGACCATTGTTTTTCTTGTGAGCAGGGAATTCAAAATCCTTGTAACCAATGTAAACTAAAAAACGTTGTTATCTTAGTTTGGAGTTGATTTCAGTAAGTCCCTTTGTGCAAGTTGTGTTTAACGTGTTTTGGTTAAAAGCCATGTATCAGAACGCTTCAATTTTTGCCTTGTTTACTGGTCCATTACAAAATATAATTCTGCTCGTTTCGAAGAAAGTAGTTCAAGAGGTTTCCATTGACCACCTGGGATCAATTCATTTTTGATGATGACAAATGAGGGGCTTGGAGTACAAGACTCATTAGTGCAGTTTTTGCAATTTCAAAATGTACTTGTTAGAAGTTTCGAAATTTCATGGATCCTCAAGGCAGAAAGAAAGTTCAAACTGACTTTTTGATGTTCAAAAACAGGAATTTGGAAGCAAATTTTTCACAAAATATGCATCAAGACCAGTTACACTTGAAATTGTTAATATCTCAACTTTTAAAAACTGCACTAATGCGCCCTGACCTCCAAGCCCCTCAATTTCACTTCAATGCAGGAATACCAGAGAGAATTTAAATGAGGCCTTGTTCTTTATGATGATTAAGAGGAAAAGATTAGCATAAAAGAATCCTAAGGAAGCTGAGTTTATATAAATGTAGGAACTTTATTTACAGGCAATTTTTTATAATTCATTATTTACAGTTGCCTCAGCTGGTTTATCACTTTAAAGCTTACCAATTTCATTCTTGAATTTAGTGATTGTTTCTTTAGCATTTTTAAGACGGTCCTTGTACTCGCTAATTTCTTGTCTAATCTTTTTTTTGGCATTTAAAATGGCTTGAAGGGTTCCCTCGAGTGGTTTCACAATAACTGGAATAGTTTCGTGGCCGTAACAGACAACACATTTTTCGGGCATATTTTTAGTAGTAATGATGATCTCTCGAATTTTTTTGCATTAATCTACACAGGGTTATGTGTTATAGTGCTTTTCAAAGATTTATTGCTCTACCCTTCAATTTTAATATATGAATGGCCGAAAATGTGCTGTCTGTTACGCTGACTTTTTACCGTGTAACAGACAGCCTATTTTCGGAATTTACATAATATTAATTGAGAAGTAGAGCAATAAATCATTAGAAAGCGTTATAATAGGACCCCTTTAAGGTTAATGCGAAAAAATTCCAGCGATCATTATTTTTACCAAAAATATGACCAAAAAATGTGTTGTCTGTTACGGCGACAAAATTATTCCAGTTATCGTGAAACCACCCTCTCCTTCTTTTCATCAACTGAAACAAATTAGAATTAGTCACCTAAATTAATTTTAAAGCAACTTTAAGTTAACAATTGACAATAAAAAAACCGAGATAAGAATAATATTAAAAGATGAACATTCCAGATACAATAAAGAATACATTTAATCTTGCAGCCAGGGCTTCGTTCTAGGCTAACCTTCTTAGTTCCATTTCATAATCGTACCTTTGATGCAAAAGGTCTTCATTTACATCTTTTCTTGCTTCATGCTAACCAGATATTGATTGTCGAGGTCAAAAAATGTGTAACTCTGATTGTGACATTACTAATCTCCACTCTTGTGTCCCTTTTTTTTAGAGGAAACTAGCCCAAGCACAGTTTTTTTTTACATTTTCTGTGAATTCCCCTTACTCATTCATAACCATTCACAGATAGTTTTAAAGAGATACTTTAATTGGTTCTCTTTTAAAAAATAATACATAATTTGGGATTTTTAAATACTTGATAATATCGAAAAGGGGCCATCTTTAAAATTTTGACAAACTTACTTCCTTAAAGGAATCTTCTCCTAATGGATATGCAAACCAGCCCCTAAAAGCCTACGACTGGTTTTCTTGCGAAACATCATTCAAGGGGGTCCAATTTAACAATAATTTAGAAAAGGAGCCATCTGCAAAGAGACTTGAAGTCAACCTAAAGTGTTGTTAAAATACACTTTCTATCTTTACTGACAAGCTGCTGTGTTCCTTAGATTTGCCTATCATTCTTAGCTAGACAGAGAACTGTCCAGTAGTTCTAACAACACAAAGCAACCAAGTAAAAATGTTGCCTTTTGAATTGAATTTCACATATGCTTTGTCACACAATAATATGTGTTCCACTGGCACTTGGCACAGAAAAAACACGACACGGTGATAATATTTTTCAGGAAAGATCTCAGCACAATAGAAAGGTCCTTTTATTTATGCGAAAATTGTAGAATTAAACATGGAAAAATGCAAATAATATAAAAAAGGGGCCATCCCCATTTTATTATTTCAGTTCCAGTATTCATTTTTTCTGGTTTTGCTCTGGATTTACTCATTACTATCATACACAGTATCAAACCTTCAGTCTCGAGATTTCACTAAATATTCACTTTCCGATCAGTTTTTTGGCTCTTCTGAAAAATTAAAAAAAAGGAGATGGCCTTTCTTCGAAATTATTAATTCAAAAATTACAATGAAAATGTAAATTTTTCAACTCCATCCCTGAAAATGCAAGTTTGGTAATAATGAAGCGGTAGCTCACAAAGGGTATTAAAAGTTGAATGAAATATTACAATCAGTCTCAAGTTTCCACAGGCCTATGGTGGCTGGATGAGGATTTGTTAATAACTTTTCCATGAACGCAGTTAGTACTCTGATACAAGAATTTTTTCAGTAACTAAAATATCTGGATTTGTTAATAAAAGCATCAGCATGTGGTAGACTGTTATCGAAACAAAAATGAAAGTAACGGTTACTCCATAAAGTAAAGACTCGTTGGAAATCAAATGAAAAAATTTAATGAAGATGATATCGATTAATATATCCACTCCAGAAACTGCAACAGGTGAATAATGATAACAATGTTTATTATTATGAGCGATATCTCAAAAGTTCCCTGATAGACAGATTACTTATTGATGGAGCAAAGCTCTCTCATAGTCTCTTCCACTTCGCTACACTGCTCAGCAACATTAAAGGGAATGAATGCGTTATGTATTCCATTATTATTGTTTCAAGACCACCACCATTGGCTATCTACCTGGAGGTTGCTTTTAAAATGGCAGCAAAATGGAGCAAAAAGACACAGGTAAAAATTAGAGAAGGGTCCCAGGAGGCCTACCTGCTCCAGGTGAACACAAGAAAATGGCTCAACCACTTAGCCATTTCCGTATCTATACAAAATTATGGATTTCCGCTAATCCGGGAAGACGGCAACATTGCTCAAGATTTTCTCCTTGGATTTTCTCTTAATTCGAGGATAGTCCTGGGAGTGTATACTCAATATAAGATGAATCAAATCAGATGAACAAATGAAATTGACGAAACGCTTAAGCCTGTTCCGAATTTCCGCGACTCGACTCGAATGGATGATGGGGAATTTCATAAACATTGCTCCAGCCTTCTACCTTGGATTTTTTCTAAATTTTTCGAGGATGGTCCTGGGAGTGTATACTCAATACAAGATGAATCAAATCGGATGAACAAATAAAATCGTGGAAACGTTAGGGCCTGGTCGGAATATCCGCGACTCGACTCATATGAATAATGGGGAAATTCATCAACATTGCTCCAGCCTTCCACCTCGGATTTTCTCTAAATTTTTCGAGGATGGTCCTGGGAGTGTATACTCAATACAAGATGAATCAAATCGGATGAACAAATAAAATCGTGGAAACGTTTAGGCCTGGTCGGAATATCCGCGACTCGACTCGTATGGGTGATGGAGAATGTCACCAACATTGCTCCAGCCTTCCACCTTGGATTTTCTCTAAATTTTTCGAGGATGGTCCTGGGAGTGTATACTCAATATAAGATGAATCAAATCGGATGAACAAATAAAATCGTGGATACGTTAGGGCCATAAATCTACCATCCTCAGCCCTCCCACCTATCCTCCCTCGCCCTCTCCGCATCCCGTATTCATTATCTATCTCTCCCCCAGCCATAATCTGACTTATGACGCGATCTCTGCTCGCCCTTTCCTACCCCACCATTTTGCTCAAAAAAGGTAATTTCAGTGATTCGTAATAATAGAGGAATCGAAATGGGTAAATTAATGGTAAAAAGTGACCCCGGAACGAATTGCGCTGTTTTATGATGGTTCCGGATCTTCTAGAATACTATCTGTTCCGAAAACATTGGACATCAACTTAGTAGGTAACCATGTAGCTCATGCTCATGCTCATTTTAGTGGAGTTTTGACATAGTTTTGATAACAAAATTCTAGGTTATTATGTAGCAAACCAATTTTTTCCTCTTACTTTTACTTTTTTCTTACTTTTGTGTACAATAATGATTCTATGTAGGGGTAGAAATCTGCGGGAAAGTCCTAATTATGATAGAGATTTTAGATTTCTAAGTGATACCAATTTTCTCAGTGTCTTATTTCCTTAGTACAATGTTACATACTCTCGTGTTATGGAACCAGAATTTCATAAAGTAGATTATGAAAATAGTAAGTTCCCTCGAGGTAAGGAACTTACTTTCCGGAGTAATTCCTATCCTGAGGGTTCAATCATCGTTAGCGATGAAACCGACAAGCTTCCATCCAACCTCCATGTGTCCTACTGGGACATCTTGGCGATACTCATTTCCATCTCTAGTCACATTATTGATGTCCTCCTAGACATGAATCTAGCCTACCGATACTATCTAAGTGGTAAAAATGTGTATGTCATACTTACTATCATCTTTATCTCATTTCCCGCGTTTGTCAACACTGCAGTCAGTATACGGATGTAAGTTCCAGCTATACTTACTTTTTTATTCTGAACGAAAGTAGGGTCATAGCACATTGAGCGTAAATTCAGATCATGGAGCAACTACATCAGTCAAATAAGTATACATTCAAAGTAAAGATCAATTTATGATGTTCCATCAGCGTTACATAATCTAACGTAGTTAGACATTTCACTACCATACGGTAACCCTGTTCGATCTTAAAGACCTATTACACAATCTAGCAATAATGTCAATGTTTTCAGCTTGACTTCAAATTTTACTAATGCATGGAGGTGTGAACATGGTAGAACTGCAACTACCTGCTAAAATTGGAAATTCAGTGGCGTGCGGTCCGGATAAGCAAGGCAAGCACTGCTTGCCCAAACATTTCTAAAGAAAGAAGAAAATTACACCTATTAAATGTTTTACATTTTAGCGAATATAATTTATAAAATGTGCTCAGTAAGTAAATTGCATCTAAAACAGAAAGAGAGGGAGACACAAATACGTGTAAAGCGGCAGAGCGGATGGAGGTGGCGCAGACCGCAGCGCGCTGCGCGGCCTGAACACGGGCCAACTCATGCGCTGGAGAATCGCTTGCGATCAGCTGAGCGGAGCGCCACTGCTCGGCGGCGGAATCAAGGCAGGCGGGGAGAGCGGTACGTTCCGAGTCCGAGCCCTTCGCTGCGTGATCGCAGCTCGCTTCTCTTGGCCATCTCTTGGCCCGTCACCGCAGCGCGCTGCTTCTGCCTCCGATGCGCTATCTTGTTCCCTCTTTCCGTCGCCGCTGTAATTGCTCCTCCGGAGCAAATGCCTTTATATTCTATAAAATTTCGCTCACTTGGATCTAATTGGTGATGAATTTGACAAATCTCAATCCTGTTTTAAACGTAGAAAGCGCTTTTTGGGGGGGGGGGAATTTAAGTAACTCAAAAAATTCTAAATGCTGTAGAATAAAGACTATATTACTTCAAATAAGTGGCAAAATTAGGAGATAAGAGTATGGAGCCGTCCTCCAATGATCAATAACATTTGAAACAAGTTTAGTAAATGAAATCATAAATAAGAGAGAAAGAAATAAAACCACAGTTTTTCAAGACGTTCCATCAGTTTTCATCCGAAAAATGGAGCAAATAGAGGAAAATTTTAAGAATTTTCTAGGGAGGCTACGTTAAACCCCCCCCCCCCCCCCCCGGATGGCGAACGCTAGAGCTTGCCCTGTCACTGAACCCACCGCACGCCACTGTGGAAATTGACCTTTTCTGGCCTTTGAAGTACTTGGATAATTGAAATTAGTGGAGTTGAAAGCCGCATCACCAAAACTTGCACTGTACCTAGTATAGTTAAAGTAAATTCATATACTTGAAAGCGCATTGAAGGCAACCTATTTTATCTTTACCATTCAAAAGCTGTGATAAGTTGAAATGGAAAGAAATTTCTACTGCGGAATGGATACTTCTGATATTAATACGCTAAAATCCCCAGAAAACATTCACCCACGTGCAAGGAAGCATGTTACTTACCTTCCATTAGTATATTGGTCTTTCGAAGCAACAAGGATCTAGAATATGCAAGGCTCCTGAATTCTGATTTTCTCAGTAGTTCAGGTATTCCCTCCTTCTAACTGTTCCTAGTCATTGGAGTTAATAAAAATTCTAAATTTGTTTTTTACTCATTTTCATTGAAGTTTTCATATATATTTAGGTATAGCTTGCAGGACCTGTGTAAGTACTTATTGCATGTTCAAATATCTTTTTTTTCTCTTTATTTTTAAAGGTATATGCTTGATGAATTTGAGACATCTGCTACCATGCGAAGATTGATCAGAACCTACAAGATCTCATGGATATTTATTTTAGCATTTCAACTCGCGCCAGTCATAAGGTAAAGTAGTTTCTCCATTTCCTCTGACCTTTTTTTTTTTATAACACAAACGCCTTAATACTATTTTTAACTCCGTTTTTACATATTTAAATGCCTTATTTTTAGATTTTTAATCAACTTAGCAAGTAGAAAGAATTGAGGACTATCTAATTTTGTAAAATCTGAAATCATGATGATATTAGCTGTAACGCAAAATTTGTTATACCTACTGCTGTAGCCTCATCAACACATTCTAATGTAGAGTTTTCCCTTGATTAATCACCAAATGGAAGGAATCAACTGTGGATTCTGTCTTTTTTTCAATGCTGTCAGTACAGTGTACCATCTTTTTTCTCATCCTTTCTGCAGGTATATTGATTCGCTGAGTTACGCTCTAAAGTCCCGCAAAGCAGAGAAAAGGAAAGATTTTGCAAGTCAGCGGAAGTACTACGAGTTGATGCTGAAAGAGGACTCTGATGTAGCTCTCCTGCGAGTATTGGAGTGTTTTTTAGAGGCAGCACCACAACAAATTCTTCAGGTTGCCATCGTCTTAGTTGAGAAGAAAAAAGGCTCTACTTTTCAGAGTGAGTTATCCTTATAATACTTGTTGAATTTTAGCATCCAAATAAAAGGGTTAATTAAAAAAGAATTGTTTCTCTTTTGTAGTTTTTTGATCAATTGAAGATGAAGATTGATCATTGGTCTCATCACACAGAAAAAAAGACTTTGTCTATTATTTTAAGCTTCATAGTTAACAAGTATTTGTTTCCTGAGAGAGGAAAAATGCACCATCTGTGTGAGAGATGATCGCAAAGAAGATGATCAAGAAGTGAGAAGTAGGAGTGAGGAGTACAGTGCAGAAAGTGTGATGGAGTAGGATGCCATGAAATAAGCTGGAGACAGAAAATGTATACGCTAATCAAGGACCAGGTCGACCACACTGTTGCCACTTAGTGTCCATAATGGTCATAATCCTGAGCCCATGAGGTGCGCTGTTTGCTGTCCCAGATAGTGGCCCGGCAATTGCTGAAATTGAAATTAAAATGATGTCCCTTTTATTATTAGAGTATGTTCTCACAGTTGTTTTGTTTGAGTCTCCTTTTTCTTATTTCCAACTATGTTCTTTACCATCCGCTTTCTTTTAGATATTCTCATAATTAAGGATACATATACATCAGTTTGAAATCATCGCTTGACTTCAAAAAAGGAAGGAAAAACTGAGGAACTTGCTAGACGTCATATGTCTCTTCACTCCTTTTATTTTCTTTTTTCTGTATATAGATGCCATTAGTGCCACGTCACAGAAAAGCAATATATATGTATATATATATCGATTTTTTTCGCATTGGTAGCATTGAAAGAGGTTATACCAATGTAATTGTTTGGATCCAATTCGATATAATGGAGAATCCCTATGATGACATCGCCACTAATAGCGTCTATTTCCTCCCATGAAACATGAACATAGTTTCTAACAGTCAGCCATTGTAAGTGCCTGCATAAAATATTTTCCCTGTGTCAAACAACCGATGGGAGGAAGGAACCTGTAAATATTTTATTTTCTATGCATTTCTGTGATTGATTGGTTTTCGTCCCTTATCCCTTCTTCCTGATCATTCTGTGCTTAATAATTGCTCATTATTTTGATGATTGTAGATCGATGATATGTAATTTTATTGAGTCAGTAAACAAATTTTTCCCATGCATCAGAAAAAGATGAAGACAAACTATTGATTGAAGATAAATCAAACAAAATTTAATCAGTCAAAATTTAAAAAATCAGACATTCAAGAAATCTGAAGTAAAAAATAAAGTAATCTATATCAAAACAGGAATTGATAATCCGGAAAAACCACTTAAGAGACTAATGTGAAACCGCCGTAAATAAATCAAGTTAATAATGCCGAACGGAAGTCTCAAAGTAAGTGACTGGGGATGCAAGGGGAACCTCCTTCATAATTGTTAGGGCATATCTTGAACAGCTAGTGTTCTATCAAAATGAATGACATGCCTCAAAAGATTAAAAGTGAAAGAAGAAATGAATCTCTTGCAGCAACTGTTCCCGGTCCAGTTTTTGCAGCATTACTCTGCAACTGCACTCCTCTAGTCCTTGCGGCCAGTCATTCATTTTAATCGGGCAACTACCGCCCTAGTACCAAATATCCTAATAACGATACCTAAATAACACCTAGTGCATTTTCCAAAGGAAATACACTATTGCATTCTCCCATGATGTTGAACTCATACCTAAGACCTTGTTTTTTCTAATTAAATTAAATATCTTTCTTTTTCAGTTATGCATCAAGCTGGATCCATTATCTCCTCTTTACTTTCGATGGCATGGTCCATGGCCTCCTATCACCGTTCGGTTAGATTTGCTCAGGAAAATAAACAGAACATGAGTTGGCCAGCCACAGCTATCCAATTCATGTGGCATTTCATGATCACAGGTATTAGGACACTTCGAGAAAGGGTCTCTTGATTTTATCTCTCTTCTCTTCTCCTCTCTTCTCTTTTTTTAAATTAGTTTTTTATTTGAATTTTCTTTTACCATGGCCTCATCAACTTTTTCCAACTGCTCTGTTTTGGTTGGTAATTCGTAGAAGGAAGTAGAATATTGAAAGCCAGTTATATCTTTCATTATTCAACTCATTAGATGCTGAGCCAGAAAGAGGCAACTCTCCTCCCTTCTATAGATATGGTTCATCTAATGATTTTATTCCAAAAAAAAAAAAAAAAAAAAAAAAAAAAAAAAAAAAAGAAAACGCACAAGAATCAGAATTTAAATATCAGATTGGGAGCCAGATGAACTTGCATTTTTTATTCAGCAGTCTATTTGGTCTTTCAGTGAAAATGTACTGTGTCAAGATATGGCAACAGGTTGACTTGAAATCATGAAACTTGAATTATTAGGTAAATTTTTCAACATGAAAAGATCAGCAAACAACTGTACCAAAATCTATGAATTTACTTTTTTAGTTTTGTGGTGGAAATCCAAATCATTGAATCCAATTGTATCTTTCCAGATTGTTTCTTTTTTCTTTTTATAGGAATGTGGATAGTTCTTAGAAGTCTAAGAGTTTTGTGCGTCTGACCTATCTAGGTTTTACATTCAATATTGATTTTAAATTTTTAAATGTACTTAGGCACCTGGATAGAGAAGAAATTTAATAAACAGACATGCATTTCTTCATTTGCTTAGATTGTTGTTTATTTTTACTTCTAGTGGCGAGAATTTTATCAATAGGTGCTGTTGCCTCAGCATTTCCGATTTGGACATTTTCTGCCTCAGCCCTTCATTGGATATTAATGTGCCTATGGCTGGCAATCCTTGAACGTACGCGACTCTGCCTCTCCAAAAATCCGCAAAAGCAAGTTAACGAGCGAACATCGGAGCTCCTCTTCTGTGCAATTCTTGGGCTTGTGTACATCTTCACATATTTGACCCCTGGTGAAGGCAAAACACGAAACAGGTACTTAATTTATTACCCATTATGCTTCTTAGAAAATACTGCAGGCATCATTCTTTGGTCGCTCACTGCAGACAGTAATATCAGGCACTCATGGTACTATGTTCCACTGATCATCAGCTCCATAGTTCCGTTTTTAATAGGCATCGTCTTCATGGTGATCTATTATAAGTATTTCCATCCGCAAACAGCTCAAAAAATCCACCTGCCTTTCTGTTGTACATTCCAGCCCAATGTGGCCTCACCGCTGTCTCCACAAGGTCTAGACCCAAATTATAGGTTTAACTATATCAGTGATATCAATGCTAAACTAAACTCAGCTCAAATGCCTGAATCGCTTTAATTTCAACTCACTTTACTCAGATAATGATTTAATTTAGGTTCCTTTTTGAAAGTTAACAACTCATGGCTTCTATTTTAATCAGTGCTTATCACTTATTAATGTTAGAGCTGAAACAATTGTTTAGTTGTAGGAAAGTGTACACAACAATCAAGATTATTTTTATTTTTATTTCTCATGATTTTTTTGTCTGTTATCATCCCATTAGCAAAACAAGGATGATTCTCGCCTCCCATCAAATTTTAAAATCAAATTTAAGTTTTTTGTAAACTTTTTTCGACCAATTTGGAGTTTACAAGCTTATTCCCCCTTTTAATACAATCTGGTCTCTCGGCCCTCTTTAAATCTCTTATCAGTCGATGGCAGGTAGTGGTGAAGCAGCTAAACAATTACACTGTTTTAAAGAATTCTGGAAAGAAATATTGACGTAAAAATAGCCCTGAGTGCACGCCATGCAGAAACGTGTTTTGAGTCATGTCTTTCCTAAAATGATATTCTCAATCATTAAAGGAAAGAGATCATGTGATTAATATTATCATATTAAAATTTATTTTTCATCCAACATCCAATTAAACGGCTGATCTTTCTCATCTGTTTCGCCAAAAAAAAACTGGTTTGACGAAGCAAATGTTGAGAGAGTTATATTTCTGAGAAAAACTAAAGTCGTGTCATGCTTACTGCTTTTGAACACATAAGTGACAATATCCTCCAAAATCAAAGGCATAAAGGGGGCACACAAACAAAATCTCACTGAAAAATTCCAAAGGAATAAGTTTTATTAAAACATGAATCAATTTTTTCCAAAGATTTTCGTCCCCCTGTTTTTTACTTCTTTTAATTTTTGTTTCATCCTGTATCACATCAAATGTTAGCAAAAAAAACTAATTTTAGTCATGAGTAGCTCAGATATTGCAAAAGTAAGAACGGACTATAATTTTAAGAGCTCATATTTTTGGTGTTCGATCGCTAGAAACAGTCTTCGGCTCCCGACTTATCATACAATCATTCACTTTGTTTTTATATTTTGGTTTCTCTATTTCTGGCTGTTCCTACTTAATGAAATTTTCATCAAACTGGTGGCTCATAAAACCTGTGTCGGTCAATTTCTTTACACTTCAATCAACGAGACAGTGAAATTTTTAGAAATTGTAAATTTACCCTGTAACTGCAAATTTAAAACCCTCATTCTTCATGAAGGAAATGATGACGAAATGGTTTAGTTATTACTTTTTATGCTTAATATGATAAGTGTTTAAAGTAAAAATTAAAAAAACAAAAAAAGACAAGGGGCCAAATCTAATTATTACTGAGATTGTCTTTAACTTAAAAGGAAAAAGTAGCTCTCTGTAAAGTATGATTTTTTTTTTTTTTTTTTACTTTCCTTCCAATTAAGTAATTTCCCAAACTTAATAATGTAGATGAAGTATTTACCTTGACTTTGATTTGAAGAAAGAGTCCCCCAATTTATCCAAAAACACTTTGATGTAAATTTGGTCAAGTCTGAGCAGCCAATTGTTTAACACTATAGTGCCTTGTGGATGATCTTCAGGTTTTGAATGCAGCTGTCTTTTTTCTTCATTGTGTATTATTTTATATTTTCTTTTTCTTTTTTTGTTTGTTTTGATCTCGTATTCATAAAAACTAACTGTCAAAGGGCAAGAAGACAAATACAATTTATGCTTTATCATAGTTCAACTAATTTTAAAACGAAGTGTCTGCTGGCCAAAAGTGCTGAAAAATGAAATGGTATTCGAGACTGTCTTGAAGCCAAGAGCCCTGAGCAGTAAATTTTGAGTTTGAGTAATTCTCTCATGTAGAGCACGCCTAACTAAATTGTTCTGATATTACATAATTAACAAATAGGGGAAAATTGAGCTTATCCTCACAAATACTAGATATTCATATTAATTGAGTCGTTACTATATACAACACTCTGAGGATCTCAGTAAGGTCCTCTCTAATTCCCACAAGCTCAAAGTTTCAAACTCAGAAAAAATTGCTCCTAAGGGGGCGATGAGTCAGTTCTTGTACCTGATACTTAAATGATTGAATAGGTAGAGTCCAGCTCTTGGTCTCTACTCGGAGGGTTAATTGGACGAATTTCTGTCGAACGGAACTAAAGACGAGTGGCTAAAATAGGCTGTGCTCTAGAAAGCTGCATAAGAAACAATGTTAAAGTGGGCGTGATTCCCTTTGGAGAAAGGGAAAATTGGAATATTACTTTCTTTTTAACGGAACTATGTGCCAACTGAATGCGGCACTCATGAACCATGGGCATGTGGAGAGAGTCTTGTGGATAGGGCTCATGAGTTAAAGGCTCAAATCCGCGGACGGTCGTCTCCGTTGTCGCCGCTGACGTCACTGGCGCTTTATAATTCCCATCCACTCCTATGGCCCTCAACCAACAAGAACACCCCTTCTTTCCCACCTGTCTCTGGTTCCCTTTGACAGAAATACGTCTGATTAACCTTTCTCTTACTAAAATCAGCGTTTTCTTTTTTAAAATTAAATTGGGCCTAGGTAAGTTTGCCTCATTTCTGAAAAGTAATACAATTACGTTTTGTGGTTGTGGTTACATACCTTGTTTTTTAATAGATTATTCAGGAAATCAAAATCATTCTATTAGCAACTTTTGGCAAGCTAGACAAAGTAATTTTGCGGCGCATCATGTTTAAAATCTTTAAACCATAACACGATCAAAGATATGAAATTAGATTAAGTATTTTTGTCTTAGTGTAAGTTAATAACTTCTCTGAAAACGAATAACTCGTTGAAGTGTTTTTCTTTACAACATTCTCCAGTTTCTACATATTTTCCGGTGAACAAAAGTTCTTTCTCCCTTTGAAGAACTAAAAAAATATTTTAATGCAATACTCTTTGTTTTTTTTGTACCTTTTACAACAAGTGCTGATGACCATTCTCATTCAACAATAGTCAAATATGTGTGAAGTTTATCAGATGTTGAAAAGCTCCTAATTGGTCGTTAGTCAATGATCATTCAATTTACATGAAATCTTATTTTTCCTTGCAACATCAATAATTGCTAGCAGTTGACAGCAATATAATTTGTTGCATTCAAACAAAGGAACACCTTTCAGATAAGAGAAAATAGAATGAAAGCAGTAGTGATGTTGTTTTAAGATCAATTTTCGGTTATCATTCAAGTAACTTTCCATGCATTCAAGTGGTTTTAATAAACATTGAAATACGATTTTAATCATCCACAAAGATTAATACATCACAGATGAGCTTATCAGCAGATCTTCCTTATTTATCTCATTGCTAGGTTGTGAAATTTTACTATGTAATATTTTTATTTTTACAAGCACAAATGTATTAGTGTAGTAACAGTTAAGCAGTCTTATTGCTTGTAGAAGTTTTGTTTAATTTCCAGAAGAAAATCTAATATATGTTTTAAAATCTTTCAAGTAATGTTTTCTCTAAAACAAACTTGAATGTAAAGTCATTTTGAAATCCATGTTTTTAAAATATTGACTTTTAATTTTCTATGGGACCATAACATATTCAATTCCCTGTCACCAAGCTAACTGAGCATGAACAATTTTATCCTCATGCATATACAAAGATGTTCTTAGTGTGAGCCACGTCCGTTCTCAATATTTAAAATGCATCTACCTCTTTAAGCTTTTTCACTTGTTTTCCTGAAGATTGTTGGCTGAAAAGATTATTATTCATGTCATATTGATTTTTGAATGAATGACTTGTGTGAGCCGTTAAAATTATTTTTTTTCTTGACAAGAACTTTTTCTACTGTACATGTCAAGGAACTTACCTACAAAATAACATACCATTGTCTCCGAACTTGACATGTTTTTAGAATAACTCAATGACAATGGGAATGAAATGAGACGAAAGACTCTCTCAAGTCCCTTTTCACTCTGGTTTTATAATATCACCACCACTATTGATAAGTATTACTCTGTCTCTTCAGAGATCTTAAGACATCTACTTAATAGGAGTAATCAAGAATGGTTTGAATTTAAGTTTATATAAGTTAAAATTTACTATTTTTTTATAACTTTCCTTGATACAAATGAACATGTCTGACCAAAATCAGCCTAACTACATGAGACGTTATATAATTTCTTCCAATGTTTTATTTTAAAAACAGAAAACTGAGTAGCTCTGGAACGGGATATTACATGATTATTCTAAGGTAAATTCAGAAAAAGTTCCAAGACGTTGCGCTGTTTATTTCTCTGTTAAAAAATAAAATGTAAGAATGAATTGGGTAACATGAAACGCAGGTAGGCTGATTCTGGTCTTAATCCAAATTTTGTATCATAACTCCAGCTTTGCAATAACTCAAGTAACTTATTGACAAAGATATTATAATAGTTAGATTTGCGGCTAGGGCTGGGTAACCTGGACCTGCTAGATGGTATATGCGCCTGGCGGATAGGTAGCGTGTTTTACGCAGAGGCGGATAGGCAGAGGCGAATTCTCCTATGGGAGAGGGGGGTATGGGAGAGTTCGCCTCTGCGTAAAACACGCTGCCTATCCGCCAGGCGCATGTCCCCCCTAAAAGGTCCAGATACCCTGCCCTAGGTAAGCCCGTACCGCATATCTAACTGTTACAATATCGCTCATCGACAATTCTCACTATGTGCAGGTAATATCTGTCCATGATCTGATCTTTAAGCGATATGTTTCTTTTTCTTTACTTAAGTAGAATATGTGATTGGCTGTGATGCAAATCTACTTACTTTGTTCATATTGTATAGATTTTCCTTATCGGAAGCTAGTTGGTTGGGTTAGAAAATTTATCTCTTTTCTTTCTTTTATCCTTTCACTTGGTGTCATTGTTCCAGGCATACTGCTGATTTTTTTGCTCTTTTTTTTTTTTCAAGAACAGTTATTTTATTTGTTGATTCTACTTGACTTTTTAATGTTTCTTCTGTATTTACTTGCCACTATGCAAGAGGTATGAAAGGTTTTTAAATAAAGTTGGCAAGTTGATGGTAAAAAAAATTGAGTGAAAGTGCCGCATGAATGGATGACTAGGTTGAAACCATAACAAAGCGTTTTTCAAGGAGAGGAATCCCAAATTAGAGATTCCTGAAGTTTCCTTTCAGGGTCCATTCAAGTAAGATAATGTGAAGCCGTCGTTCCACTTTTTGATCAGGGACATAAAAAAGTCATAAGCCTCTTAATTTCGAGGGCATACCCTTAAATAATATTGTAACAGAGAGGAGCATTGACCAAGACGCTGCACTCTCCCCCTTAAGAGTGATGTGCAATACTGCCGTGCCAAGGAATAACGCTGGATGAACCTTCGTCAGTTGCCAAATTTCCTTTGATTAAATATGAACATTCAGAAAACTCGTGAATATTTTCCGTTCAATTTTTCAGAGAATTGTCTTCGTAATTAGATCTAAATTGTCTGAAAATTCAAAGAGGAAATATTCGCAACTCTCCTCGAAAATTGACGTTTCATCAGAAGAAATTTGGAAACTCTCCAATGTTCATGCAGCGTTTTTCCTCAGCCCGGCAGAATACCTCAACGACGCCTGTAAACTATGCTATATGAAAGATGAATAAAAAGAAGACCCTCAATCTATATACTAAGTTTCCTCATCCCAGTTTTTTACAATGATGTGCGCACACACATGCTCTTTAAAATGGACTTTTTTCACAAATATGTAAATCTCATTTACTAAGAAAACAGCTAGTAAGAAACTTAACATTTTACACACTAGACAATATTTTCCTATGCCAACATTTTTGATAGAACCTTTTACAGCCGGTTGGCAGGATTGCATGTAAAAATAATTGAAATTACCCATTTTAGTGTATGAATTCCACTAATGTATTTTTGTGTCTGTAATAAAGAGGATTAGATTTTGTTGTTATCAAATGTTCTGTCAGTTCGAAGATTGAAATGTATTTTGTGAAGGAGCTCGAAACTAGATTAGCCGGACAGCATTACCATATTTTTCTCATAAGTTAGGTTATCCATCAAAGTAATTTTGATGACCAAAGTGCAAAACCACCTATCTTCGATGGTGACATATCAGACTTTCGGTCGTGGTTGATTTTTTCTCTGGAAGACTAGTGAATGTAATTTCTTGGAAACTTTCTTTATTTCTCTGCTATATTAGCAAACAATTCTGTATGAATTTCAAGCTATGAAGTTGGCTCGTTTCTCCTCGAAAAAAAGAAGTATGAGCGAAAATTGTGAAACACTGCTACAGAGATACGCGGTTTTGCATTTCGGCTATAGATTTGTGATCATACGAGAGAAGAGAGACCTTACAGTCATTAAAAGTTCACAATTAAGTTGTTGATACCAGGCTAAAGTAGAGTGTTGCGCAAAAATTGTGGGAGAAAGTGGACCCAAAAATGTTGAATAAAATGGGAGTCATTGCTGTTTAGAGTCCAAAAGTGGTAGTTTCAAGAAGAAACTGTCCAAAGGCAAACTCTAATCTGCCATGTTCATGGCCAAATTTGTTGGATTGTAATGCAACTTTACGTCCTCTATCGACACAAATATTAACTGAAATGTTAGCATTTTTTTATTCTTTAGAATATTAGAGAGCTTTTTTGCTGGAATCTTAAAATGCAATCGGGAGCCATAAAAATTGCTTCACTAAAGATTTTTTCTCAGTGGATAGGTCTCCCTTAATTTTAGTCCCTTATTAATTTCCAATTGGATTCATTTTAATGAAGGAGAAACTCATTTCCTAGAAATGAAGCTTTCATTTACAGAATAAAGCCATCGTATAGCACCAGTTAACTTCGAAAAGAAATTTTTCAATGAAAATTTCATTTTCAGCCCTGTACAATTCATTGATTGTAACCTTAGCCCTACCCAATTATATTTAAAATCATCCAGAACTTAATTTTATCTTAATATTTGAATTGGTTTCTTTCCAGTTTGATCCAATCATGAATTCTAACATTAAAGAAAAATCTTAGTCAAAAGATAATTTTTGATTATATTTTGTTGCTTGCATTCCTCACATTTGTTTTTTTGTGAAGTGGAAGTTCGGTATCTGATGTCATGTTTTTTGCTCTTTTCTCGTTGGCTCTTGAAAAATTTTAATTTGTAAAGTGAGTAAATGGTTCGTGGATCAGACTAGACGTAGTTGAGCGTTTTCCTAGTGTGCAATCGTAATAGACTAATTTCTTCCATGGAATAGAGTTCAAACTACGTAATTCCGCTTTTCTACGGTTGAACCTTTAGTAAGTGTCAACGCATTAATCCCAAGATTTCTATGTTGTTGGTGCTTTAGCTCTTGATTTGCCTCTGAACTATTATAGGTATGAATTTTGTACACTTTCTTTTGTTCTCTGTCCATCTGATAACTTAAGGATCAATAAAAAGTTCCTCTCAAACATCAATATGATTATATTTTTTCTTTTAGATGATTGATCAAGTAATGAAGGCCTTTGAAAATTGAGTCATGGGATGAAAAAAACTAAACTTTCATCTCTAGGGGAACTTGCACATTGCTTATATACATGTAGTTCACGTCTGTATACAGGGTGCTCAGAAGTAAATGCGCCATGCTAATCGATTTTTGGGGTAAAAAAAGATCTCTGTAAGACTATGAAAGTTACTCTGGACATTTAATTAAGATGAAAGGTATTTAAATTATGTTTGCATTCACACAGATACACTCTCAACTCCGATATTTAATCAATGGAAAAGCTGATAAAAAATTTTGATTTGCAGAGAAACATGCAAATGTAATGAGGGGTTTTCTTTAAGTATTTCCTAAATATTATTTACTGGGGATAGTTTGTAAAATTCAACAGAACAACTTTCACTCCAAAGTCACTAAGTATCCATATGTGGAATGCAAAGTTCTGTTTTCAAAATAATGCTACTGTGGAGTGGCAATTGTTTAGAAATGATTAGAAAGGTGATTCAATCTTACAAGATAAAACAAAACACCTCATCAAAAAGAATAACTGTTGTATTTAACTTTTTTCCTCCTGAGTGTGGACACTAAACAACATGATTATATTTTTGACAGAATCACACTCTACCATTAGGCCTTGTCTCCACGGGACGTTTTCATGGGATTTGTCCCAAGTTCGAATTGCAGGAATGAAACCTCTGGGATTTTTCCCAGTTACCGTCTCCACGGGACGGGGCTCATACAGTCCTGCGACTAGTTTGCGCGGGAAGATAAAGTAGTTAAAGTCGAGTATTTAACTGGTATTATAATAATAAATGCACTCAATTGACAATTAGACACATTATTTTAACTAAACAAACATTAACAATGTAGTAATGAATAAAATATCGCACAATTCGTTTTCACTTCTTCTTCTCTCAGTGGGTCCTAGGGGTACAAGTACCATACATGGTACTGGGAAAAATATTGATTAACTCAATATTTTTCCCAACTTCGCAGTGGGATTTTTCCCTGGGACAAATCTCGTGAAACGGCTCGTGGAGACAAGGCCTAAAGATATCGCCAAGAAAGAAACTTTGCTTTGGAATCACATTAATATTTGTGAGATTTTCATCGAACAGAAAATAATTTATCCTTTGAAAGTTGTTCAATTCGAAGAGTTGTCCAATTTTTTATCAAGTACAATCATAATTTCATAAAAGAAAATCACACAACTTATTTCTGTCATGGAAATGGTTGGTCACATGCTGACATTTTGTTGTCATATGCTCTCAATTGAAGCACTGTTATACCATAATTTTCTACTTAGAAGCTGAAGTGCAAGGTTCTGAAAAATACAATACATGCAAACGAATCCAATAACACAGTTCTTACTGATAGAGGTCGTAAGAATTATGTGCTGTAGCACATGTTTTTAAGGCTTCACATGTAAGTAAGAAATCGAATCAAGGAAGAATCTTATGCAAATAAAAGCAATGTAATGATTTGCTGAGTTAGATGTATTGACTGTTAAGACAGGTCGAGGTACAATGATTGAAAAGCCTTCGTGGAGCAGCTTAGCGCTTTAGAAGCACAGTTCAAATTGAGCTTAAAAGTAATGAAACGATTAGAATGACAGATTTACTTAAAACTTTTCCATAGTTGCTAGAATCTCACAAGGGCACAGGATAATTTCAAAATTTGCCACTGGTGCAGCTGACTAAGTGCTACTTTGAGTCGTAAAATACTCTAATACACAGTTTCCTAGAGAAATCTAATTATGTGCATTTTGAGTTTTACATTCAGAGATGAGAGGAAATAATTTCTTACTGAAGTTTATTTTCTAACAACACTTGAGGATTCTGAGTGACTTAAGGCAAAATTGGACGATATTAATTAGAATCAGCTCGACCATCTCGTACATTGCCTAAATTCTTCTCATCTTTCATTTTTTTCACAAGTTAAAGAAGATTCATTCTGCCTTGAAACTTTGTGAATGCATTAACACTTCCTTTTCTAGGGGCAATTCCTGGAAAATTTCAAAGGACTGTTGGTAAGTTTTCTCGTCAAAAACTTGAACATGGGAGAAAATGAGGCAACATAAAATGTAGTTATGCTAATTCTGATCTTTTGACTTAGTGGAGCTTTTTTTCAAAGTTCTCAAGACCGAAATTTTTTAAAAAATCCCTCAATATTCAGTAAACCTCAAAGTTTTAGAAAGTGAATTAAAACATTTTTTATCAACCTGAGATGATGGAGGACAAGTACAAGCCATCGGCAGATAGGCTTCAAAACAAATGGACCTATTTCTGCCAAACGGAACTATATGCACTAAGAGATGAGCCCCGAGACCCATAAGAATAAATGAATGACAGGGCTCACGTCATAGTGCACATAGTTCCGTTTGGAAGAAATACGTCTAGATGAAGTTACTTAAGCAGGCTCTGGATTAATCTTAAAATTTCTCATACCAGGCAAATTTTTACGAATAGATTACGTTCAACTTCTGACATACTGCCAACTTCCGTTACAAAGGAGAAAATCACACTCTTGCCACCATTCAGCTGTATCATCCAATTTTTTGTGTCAGTAGGAAAGTTGACCACATCCGATGTTATGAATCCATCCTCCAAGGTGGGTTCAAAAGTGGATGGAAACAAAAGGCATAAGTTATCAAACCATGGATTTCAGTCCTTGACTATTTTTGCCCTTGAGTTGCACCCAACCCTGTCTAATCAAGGAAAAAAAGTGAAGTGGATCTACTTATTGAAATTCACTCAAAGAAAATTAAGTACCTTGCGATGCAAATATTGTTTCTACCATTGAAACACTATTAAAATCCAAACAAGCATATTTGACAGTTAAGAGTGTAAAATAAAATTGGAAAACTTCTTAGAAATAAAAAAGAAAAATTAAACTAGAGAATATCAGAATTTAAAACAAAACTGGGTGAATCATAGTTCAAAGTCTTGAAAGATTTTTACAATACAGGTGTAGGGACATGGACAAGCCTGAGAGCAAGGTTCCATGATGAGGAAGGCACAAATATGCTGGGATTCGTCGATATTTTTTCTTTTAACATTTCTTTCCCTGCTGTTAGTCACATATTAACAGAATTTCAGCACCAGTTTGATAATCTAGCTCTTCATACTTGCAAACAATTTTGAGAGAAACTAAAGAGAAACTGAAATTGCTGGGACAAACAGGTTGGATACATTTCTTGCCTACAAAGAAAGACTTATTACGAAATAATACGGAGGCATTCTGTGGAGTTTTGGCTGGATATAATGAAACCCTGGCAAAATTTTTACGAAAACTTTATTGCAAAATAACTCTAATAAATTTCAGGACTCATGTAAAATATGAAAATGACTAAAAACAAAAACCTTGCTATGCTGCAGTGTCAATTCAAAGACAACTTTATCATAAAAATGCACACCAAAGTACTGATGCAAAGGTGTGGGTGTTTGACAGGGGAAATTGGAGATAGAGTGTAGTTCTTTAAAGAGGCAACAAAAGTACCTACACTTGAACAAATAGTATTCGTTAACAGAGGTGAACGTGAGAGAATAAATTATGAATGGGGCACTGGCAAGGAATTTTTGCGGGGTTAATATGGGTATAGTTTTTTTGACGTGAAAGTTTATGAAAAAACCAAAAAGTTCATTAAAAGTCAAATAAAAGTATTTCTACCCATGCCACTGCTCCATTGCATTAAAAATTAGTTTAGTGAAAATTTGCGTTGCTACTGATTCTTCAAATAAGAAGAAAAAATTTAATATGGTTTAAAACTAAATTGTTTCCATAGAGAATGATGGTCAAAATTCTTCAATTTCATAATATACGAGTGATAGATCATAGGAATAGGACAGACATGGAAGAGAAAAGACATTGATTACATTTCTCAGGATGAGAAATTTATGTCGTGAGAAACATATGAGAAAGGTTCCCGACTTGCAATGCACAAGCCGATTGTTGAAATATGGGATGATCACACGATTTTGGAGTCTCCTCTTAATTTTTCTTAAATTCACGAATGCTACGATGAAAATAGCAAAGCAAATAATAGGATGGTAAGAAAAGTTCCCTTAATCACGATAATGGGTCAGTTAAGTAATTTTCTTTCTATTGAGTTTGAACTGCTTGCTCATAGCTTGCGAATTGGAACGCCACGATCGAGATAGCAGTGAAATCCATGGTGGGAGAATACATTGCAGTGTATTCTGGAAAACTGTAGGAGATCAACTATTTGCAGGCCAATTCCTCCCTTAACTGACCCGGAGTGTATATTGATTCTACCTTTTACAATAAGTTAAGTTTAATTAAATTTGCTTGGATCCCCCATTCTAGAAAATGGGTACTACTTCATACTGAGGCACATCTTACAGCTTTCAACTGACGCACCTTTTTTTAAATGCCTTCATGATAGAATATAGTTAGAATGTATGTAATTTTTCATCAATAAATGCTGTGTCTAGGACGATCAGCAGATTAATAATTGTTTAGATCTTACATCAGTATAAATTATGACACCATTAGCTATTTACAAGTCTGTTTTGACAATTCATCGAGGATTCCATTATTCCGTTGGATTTTGAATGACTATTAGCATGAATTCCTTATCTGAAAAAGAATAAGAAATGGAAAATCAACGTTGTAAAACAGGTGAAGAAATTTTGAAAAATTTTATAAATTAATACTTGAAAAAAGAAATAGGTAAGAAAAATTTCCACACGGTCCGTATTTCCATGAGGTCATGGACTCACATCCTCAGCAGTGAATTAAATTCATCTTTGTGAGTAGTTACACTCCCTCTCATTCACATTCAAGATTTCAGTAACTACCAAATGGAGCAAGAGCTAATTTTCTACAGAGAAAGTCTAATTAGAAGGCTATTAAATCCATTTCTATTCGCAGTTTTATTAAAAATCATGTCAAACCAAACATTTGTCCAAATTGGTGTCAAGCAGCTTTCTACTTACACTATCTGTAGAATTTCAATAAAATTCAGACTGCACAAAAAGCTTAACTTATGACAGGAGAAGTAAGAGGCTTGGGTGGTAAATATGTGCCTTGGCAAGAAGCGCAACAACCTGGTGAACATGTGACACTTATATTCCTATTCCCACAGACTATCATCTGTTATTTCTTGGGTGAGCATTCTATTATATGATATAATATGTTCCAAATTCTTTGACCAGCCTTTAAAGTGAGACATGAAATCTACCATCTTCACTTCCATGGCTAGATTGCGAAACCAAGTATCTCCATTGTGGTGTTTCAAAATCTCTGCTCCTACTCCATTTTTCAAAGAGAGAAAAGTCAAAAATATTTATATAGAGTATTCTGCTGATGGAGAGAAGAAATCAAGGAAGTTTTCAAGAAATTAAATTTACTAGTTTTTCGAGGAAAAGATAAAGTATGATAGGAAGTCTGCAAAGTCACAAACAGAGATGCATGATTTTGCACTTAGGCCATCAATTCTAGTCTTATAAGTGAATGCAAGAATTAAGATGGCAAATCTTTCATCTCACTCCACCTTTAGACCAAAATATTTATAAGCTACAAAAAAAAAAAAAAAAAAAAAAAAAAAAAAAAAAAAAAAAAAAAAAAAAAAGAAGAAAGAAAGAAATAAATAAAAAAATGAAAAGAAACATTACCTGGTGCAACCATAATTTCATGCTTTTTAGACCTAATTCTGAGGAAGGTAAGATCATTTGTTGGGTCTAAATCTCGCACTACACTACGGACTTTTTCAGACAGTTGACTGATCAGGCCAGCATATTGGACAGTGGTTGTGTTGTCCAAGGTTGTTTTAATGGGAATACCTAGAATAATAGTTAAAATTTTTAAATTACAGGTTATGGTGCCCTTAAAGTTGCTGCGACTGCTAGAAATATACAAGTTAAAATACTTCAAGAAATGAATTCAACATGAAGTTGTGGAGTTTTTTTTTTTTTAGAAAAGACATAGGTCAATATATCTTTTCTAGTGATTCCCACTAGCTAACTCAAGGAAGAGGAATGATTCCAGAGGTTTCTTGTAAATTAATTTGTGGTATACATATTTTGACCTAGCTGCTACACCTTAAAATGACCTCTGATTTTCTCTGAGATGATCTACTTTTCTGGAAAGGACCCCACACAGATCAGGGGGCTCAATGTTCTAAATTTTTTTCAAAATTAAAAACCAAAAGGGCATTAGCCATTTTGGCACACTAGGATTGAATTACTGTAGAATAAGTAGAAATTTATTTGAGGATATTAATGAAAAATACATAATTACGAGACAAATCATCAAAGTACCTTCAGCATTCACCACAACAAGACCAACAACGCCTTTGTGGTTCTGAATTTGTTTCATGGTTTCTTCAACTTCATTGGACTGCAATGATAAACAAACATCAATATGAGTTAGAGAAATCACAAGAGAAAAATAAAATCTGCTGAAAAATCACATGAAAGTTAACAGTTCCAAGGAAATTTCAAAATCTAACTTTCAAATTAAAAACTAAATTAAAGTGACAAGCAATGTTTTACCGTGTCCAGACTTAACTGGAATGATTATTATGTTGCTATCAGGGGCTGCTCATATAATACAAGAAATTCAAGGAGGGGAAGGGACTCTAAGCCTAGGTTAATAAGATGCATTATTAGGAGAAGGGGGAGGGAGTTCAGAGCTGCATTATTAAACTCTAGAATGGGTGCATAGTGCCGATTTTTTATAAATCCAAGGCAAGGTGGCGATTTTTCATCTAAAATTCATCACAAAACATTGACTTGAGGGAGAGGGTTTAATGATCATTACATAATTTTTCGTTGGGGGATGTACAGCACAGTTGGAGGTATGGGAGGGGATAGGAATTGAAAATTCCAATTTTCGGCTTTCTGTACTTTAGAAGTGACCCCTTGTCAAGTAGGTAATCATTACAACTCTCTACTGGCCAACAAGAGGAACCAGAGAATCTGGGTTTCTACATATTTTCAAAAGTTACGACTCATCTTCTTTTTTTCAAATTTTTAAACAATCCTCAGGGCTGATCGATTGTTCACTCTCCCAGTCCCTTTACACCCAGCCCTGGGTGACCATTGCATGAGATCATCAAATTCAAATCACCCATCAGGAATCGAAGCTAGGACCTGCTGGTTATAGGGCCAGCACTACAACCACTACACCACAAGAGGCAGACATTTTTTCTGCTATCTATGGAAGACTCAAATTTCCCATAGGACCAGGAAACTCAGCTAAAGGTATTCTGACAAACAGTTTACCAATGGGTTAGTTTCGCTAGTCACAGAATCGTATTTTGATCCTTAATTTTTATAGATTAGTTGAAAATAATAAGATCTGTCCAAACCGCAACTTTCTACATTTAATATTGACTGAGATATCCTCCTTTGAAAAGTCAGGTTTTTGATGTCATCCACCGCGGCAGTGACACTCTTGGTTTCTTCCTCTTTTGTTCGATCATTAATGCAGATGACTGGCCGCCTTATCTCTTCGCGGCAAGTGCATTATCTCCTGATAAGAAGACCTTTAAGGTGCGAAACCGTCTATTTTTTGAGTTTGATTAGGTTTGAAGTTGCTGAAGTTTTGCTTCGCACCCTCTGCATCACTGATCGAACAAAAGAGGAAGAAACCAAGGGTGTTACAGCCGCGGTGGATGACGTCAAAAACCTGACTTTTCAAAGGGCAATGTCTCGATTAATATTGAACGTAGAAAGTTGCGGTTTGGGCACATCATATTATTTTTCGCTAATCTACAAGATTCAGGCATCAAAATATTATTCTGTGACCAACGCAACTGACCCATTGAGTTTCTCACTCCCCCAAGCTTTTTGATAGTTAGTTCACGATGCAGACCGTTCACAACTTCTGTGAGTTGCTATGTACAGTAGGGGTGAGTAGTTTGGACTAAAGATCTGAAAGCTCAAATAAAAGTGAAGTGAGGTTTTACAATTGAAAAAATTAAAAAATTCGAAAGCTGATAACTCTTTCATAACCTCAAAATAGTGATAATTGATAAGAGCGGCGTTGATTATTGATCAAGGTTTAAATGGAATTAAATTTTAAAAGAGAGACGAAATGAAAAAATCCATACCATCGTGAAAAGTATTTGTTAACTTCCGGGGAGCAAAAATGTAAAATTATTGAAGAACAAAAAAGAAATTCCAAAGAGAGACACTTCGACGAATTACAAGTTGATTGCTTCCTCACCATGGGAACATGCAGGGCACCGTTGTCATATGTCAACTCATGAAAATAATTAGTCCTCTTGATATTTCAGGAAATCATCATCATATCTTTTTAAATGAAAATTCAGTTTACTACATGGAATTAAATTTATAAAATCGGCGGAAAATTTACTATTATCCTCAATCAAAGTACCAAAATATTTAAATAATGTTAGGAGGCAGTTTGACAACAGAGGATAAGTTGTTTTCATAGATTTTACCAACTATACACACCAAAAATTTCTTTTCTGGTAAACTTTATTTATTTCTTTCTTAATTTTCCCCCCATTTCGTCTCTCAAATTTTTATAGAAATTTACAATAATATATAATTAAGGTCTGTGTGAAGTTATTTTAATGATATTTCCAAAATTTCAAGCTGTGAATCAATTTTACCTGTTTGGACATTGCAAGTAACAGAACTTCTCAGTTGTCTTTCTGGCAGTCCGAATGACAGTTCACCATGTAAACATTGATGATAAGAGAAAGTGTTGGGAATGCGATCTTGTTGTCCTGGGTTTATTAATTTAATTTTTAGCATGAATGATTTCTCAACCTTCAGTCAAGGGTCTTGACTATGATCCAAATATTAGTCCTTAATGTAGTAGTGAAGGTTTTGAGTTATCAAAGACAGTGGAATTAATACCGTACAATCGCAAGTAACTTGCTGTTGTCGAGTCGAAAATCATAGTTGATTAACTTGAGTAAGCGTTTCTTTCTATCTCTCCTGTAAATTGTTTCTTCAGTTCCTGTTAGTAGTCCAGTTACTTTAAATTCTTGTTCTTCTTTGCCCATTGACAGTCATATCAGTCGACTCTCTTACTGGACTTGGCAGCTTTTGTCTGCCATCTTCGTGCCTCTGAATTTTTCAGATAGGTAAGGACACCTGGAACTTTAACCAAAATCTCTCAGATGACCAATATATTGATGGCTTAAGTGCGACACAACATATCTACATCTCGGTGTTTCAAAATCTCCGCTCCTAGTTTATTCTTTTGAAGAGGATCTTGTCAACTTTACAGCTTGAAATTTCTACAGATTATTCTGCCAACAGAGTGAAAAAATCGAGGAAGTTTTCCAGAAATCAAGTCAACTAGTTTCTCAACGAAAGAAGAAAGTATTACTGGACGTCTTCAATGCTGTGAACAGAGATACGTGGTCTTGCACTTTAGCCATCAACATTTTGAGTTCCCACACATAACAGGTGGTGATTTGACACTTTAAAGTGTATCGACCATAGGGTACAATAGAGTCGCAATGCACTGGAGCGTCGATGAAGTCAATCCATGAACAGGCTTTTCCAAGCCCCTTGTTCATCGGAAAGTGGGAACTATCTGAGAACCGTTTGGCATTTTTTAACATGTCGGCTTATGGGATAATCGCAGGCTGCGAGTGGTTTTCAGGATTTATTCATTTAAATCGATCATTATTTCCAAATTTTGGCTAATCACGTTCACTGAAGTCACAGCAAATTAAAAAAAGTACAACACTCCCGGTTTTTATGAAATTAATTTTACACCTGTATTTTTGAGCAAAGACTGGAGCTGGGACCCCGCGCAAACGGCATCGCCAGTCGCCGCACACTAGTCTCAGGAGCACTGGACAAAACAGCCTCATAAAGTGACTTCATCGGCACTCCAGCACATTGCAGCTCTATTGTACTCAGTGGTATCAACCCGACAAATTTTTATTCAGTTTTAAATTCATATTCAGTCAATCGCCATGTCACAATGATCACAAGTGAGGAAGATCTTTTAAGATTTTGTTCTGGCCAAGGCCTCAATCGTCGTCAGGTCTCCATGGAAAATGGGTCTGCAGTTAGTACAGGAGCATAATTTTTAGCAGTAAGTCAGAGATTTATTTTGGAGTTCCCTAAATTTTTTAAGCTCGCCTTGTCTGAAATGAATTACTTTATTGGTCTTCACTTTTTTAACAGATAGTGTAATGGGCAAAACAGCACGTGTTGTTATTTGTGGAATGAAGAATACCGGCAAAACATGCATACTAGAACAAGCAGTTTTCGGAAATGTAACAAAGGATTCTGTAAGTATTCATTTTAAGAAATAAGACACTCTTTGATAGGTTCATCTTGTTCTTCCCTGAGTCTTAATAGAATGTACATCGACGGTGAAATTCCTATACCATGTATCTGGGTTTGCGACATTGCAGACTTCCTTTCATTCTTAATTTGCTAAATGGAAAACTACCCCATGTAAACTCTTAAAAACATTTATGATTTTTCTTCTCTGTGTGAAGAAAATTTTTTGATTTGTTCTCCTTTAAAAATTAAACAGGAGTGGAGATTTTTTAGCATCGCTAACAAGATACGTGGTATATGGGAGTTTCACCGTCGATGTGCCCTGTTTTGGCACTTAGCAATAAAATATATATTTTTTTAAGTACTAAACAATAATCTTTGTCTCAATTATCTTACATCGGATGCGAGAGTGAATTTATATACCCATCATGCCAATGTGTTTCTAGCAGAACAAAAGAGGGATTCCAGAAAATACCCTTTTAAGTATGAACATTGAGCACAGTAATCCTTATGAGAAAATCTAGAAAACTTTAAGAATAATCTTTCTGCCAGTCAGATAGTGTGGATACCTCAGAAAATAGAGAAAAGAGCTTGAATTCTATTTAAGTAAACTTTATTATTTTGACTGAGCAATTATAGTTCAATGAGAGCTCAATTTTAATTTTAACTAATCTATTAAAAAAAATGACAGAACATTGTATTGTAAGTTTCTTTTTAAAGCCCAGAAATTAAATTTTTTTTCTTCCAGATAATTTATCCCACCATTGAAGATTCTTACATCGCTTTGGTTGAAACAGATCGAGGTTCGAAGGAGAAGATCCTCTTCTATGACACAGCTGGTGTAGAGCCTGTTGTATCTCCCGCACGGGAGTTGAAGCAGAGCTACGCCTTAGAACATCAGTCATCTGGTAACTCATGTTCTGCTTTTGCACGCCACTGGGCTCATTCCGCCGATGGATATATTTTTGTCTATGACACATCGCGACCAGAAACTTTGGACTGTGTCCTACTGCTCAAGAAAGAACTGGATAAAAATCGAGAAAGAAAAGAGGTACATGTTTTGCTTGTATTGTATACTAATGCTTCTATTCCTATACACCGTAAGTGGTTGATTGTGAAACTCTCAAACCTTGTATCCCGGTTTGCTACAATGCAGACTTCCTGTCATACTTAATTTTTTAAATGGAGAGCTACTCAACCTCAATTCTTGAAAACTTCTGTAATTTCTCTTCTCTAAACGGAGCAAATTCTGAGAAAACTTCAAGGAATGATGATGTTTTGAGATTTGTTCTCATTTTAAAGAATGAAATGGGAAGGAAGATTTTTAAACTCCCGCAAAAGAGATACATAGTTTGGGAGTTTTGCTGTCAAGTGTATTCCTTCGGAAAGCAATAATTTTCCTTGAACTTGCACTGAAAAATGTGTGCGATACTGTGATTACAAAGACTGAGAAAATTGCCAAAGCTACTCTTCAGAATGGTGGAAAAATGTAAGTAGACATGATTGTCCACACTTCTGGAACTTTAACACCTACTATCCTTTTCTTTTTCTTGACTTGAATTTCGCTCAATTCAAATCTGCTCCATTTGTTTATTTTATCAGTTCCTGTCATAATGCATACATACATATACCTAAGCCATTCTATAACAGTGCTTGTAAGAAATACAATCAACAGTAATGATAGCCGATTTATTTTCTTTTGCTGTCTCGTTTCAGGCATTGATGGTAGTGGTCGGTCACCATATTAAATCTCAGTCAGAAGTTTCGTCCATTCCTCTGGAAAGTCCCACGAGCAAAGCAACTCACTGGTCCATCCGAGAGAAAATAAAACACTTTGAAGTGAATGCTTACGATCGATCAACGCTGTATGAAATGTTCATCTACATCGCTTCGAAACTGAATCCAGTCCAGAATAAAAGTACGTTTCCCCAATTAAGTATGGTACGAAAAAGTACTAAATCCGAAAATTAATCAGAAATTTGTTCCAATTTATGTTCAGGTCAGGTTTTATCCAGCTTTGATTTGGTATCTTAATGTGTTAAAAGGAATGTAGAGAAACTGATGTTCCTAATTACAGTGATCAAAAACTTAGCAGAATCCAAAGATTAGAATGACATTTTAGCAGACTTGGCTATTGAAATGCTGTAACTTTCAGATAATACCTAGTAAAAGAAATTATTATTCTCCTGTCATTTTTCAAAATGTTACGTAGTAACAAAACAGAAAAAATTTGGTCTGTGCCATCTGAATTTCGTCAGGCTTGTTTTAATTTACTAAGATATGATAATTTTAATCTCAAGACACTGTGATAAAATTGAATTTTTTTATTTTAAAGTATTTTATTTGTGTGCAAGAATGAAGATTTGAGGTGTTCCAGAAAACTTATGACTTGATTATTCAGAAAGCATAAGTGTGGAACTTTTTTACGGATTTTACAAGTATTTTAAAAAAATTGTGTCCTTGGGATCTTATCAAGGTACAGAATAATATATCTACTACTTTTAGTTCAGGAACAGGGTAGCTTTAAAACAATTTTATTTTAGTGAAGTCCTAAACCCAAAGATTTGTAAAGAAAATATCTCAGTGTTTCCAAAATTTCATTTTGAGGGATTTACGGAAGATGAGGAGTCTCATTCATTCGTTTACATTATTGACAGAAAAAAGGGGTTTTATGTGAAACTTTTCGGTGAAGTTCCAAGACTTGTTAAGATCCGATCTGATCCACTCCTCTCCTCGACTTAGAGAGACAGACGCTTAAATGATGTGGGTGCACTGATCATGTAGCTTTTAGTAAAAAGAGGGAATTCTCAAATATGTACTAACTAACTCAGTCTTTCAATGGGCCTCTAGAGAGGATGTAAATTAAAGCACTTCTCAACATGTTTTCTCTTCATTATTTCACAAGGAAAACTAATCACACAACAGGAAGTCTGGAAAGTAACTCCTGAGCAAGTTATAAGAGTTTAGAATCAAAATTACTTTAATGGCAAAAATACAATTGATGTCATTTGTATCATGTATCTTCTACTTGATCTTTGATGAAAGTACTCATTAAAATCTTGTTTAGATGATTGATTTTCTAACTTCCTGTTGTCTAAATTTCTTTCTACGTAATATAATGAAAGAGAAGGCGTATGACTTCATTTCCTAGTTCAGACCTTTTCTAATGACTCATCACGTAAGAAGGGTCTAATAAGTGATGGTGACCCACTTTTGACAGTCTAACATTTGCAAACATCTGTCACTCGATTTGAAACTTGATCCCAAGGTCACATTAGTTCATGAACTATTTAAGTTTATCAAGTTATTTTCGTGTAGAAAAAAAATTGTTGGCGACAAGAAGCTTCAAATTTCTGTAAATCTGAGGTTTAAAATGGAATGATCTAGGTATGGAGGCAAATGACGGTGTACTTTTTTAGGACTTGAGAATCTCCATAGTACCTTCCATGGTTGATTAATTATGATATGCCTGAATCAAGTAGTTGCGGGAAAATAAAATAGAGTGATTGCTGTAACTGCTCACGATTCATCCTTAAAGTGTTAGGTTTTAAGGCTAAGAAATGCTAGGTCCTCCATAGGTTTTTTTTCAAAATTAATAAGCAGTTGATATATTCATCCTGTAAATTATTTCAATGTGATCAGAGCATTTTATATGTACTTAATAAAGTTATTTTGTTAACCTTTACTTTTTAAAATTTACTTGAAATCAATGTGAAATGAATGGCTGGTAGATAGGATGTAAATTGTTTAATTTTTCTTTGTTCGAAGAAATTTGCCAGAATGAACAAGCAAACTTGTATGAAACGCATCTCTCACAGAAGAAATCGTACTTTTTCAAAGTCATCCATCAAATTTTCCTTGTCAAAATGAGAAAATCTATAGAGAGAGCACAAATGCTTTCATTTTCTATTATTCAGAAAAAGATGGATAGAATACATGTTAAAATCTACTTTACATCCTATCTACCATCTTAATTTATAAGTATCTGATGATGGACCTAATGATATGACAATGAGGGCATAAAGAGGTGGAAGAAAGGAAGAAAACAGAGTTATTTTTCTATTTCAGACTCTATTAGGTAAAAAGACAATTGAAAACTGTAGAAAATTGAGAAGAATTATGAAGTTGCCAATAAAACAGGGTAAAGAAAAAATACTCCAATACAAGTGATGTTAGAGAGATATTGATTCGAATAGTACTAGTTAAGTAGACGATACATCACTGTTGTTCTACCGATCTGCTTCAAGCAATTGTGCGACTAACTTCCTGAGTGGGAGTCTTTAGGGAGTAAAAGATGAAATTTAAAATACAATTATAATAGCCAAAAAGTTAAGATAAATTTTAAAAAAATTTGAAAGACTACGAAATGAGAAAAAATTATTAAGAACGTAAAAAACGAAATTTGGTGGGGTCCTTACCAGAACTAAAGGTTGAGGCAGTTCGAAGCTGCCAATAAAAGAAATAGAAAAATAATATTTGGACAAAATAAATACAAAAAATTGGCGATTGAACTTGAAGTTGATAATTTAGAGATTTTTCAGACTGGATTCAGACTGAAAAATTTTAAAACATAAAGCTTTAACTAAATTGTTCAAATGTGATAGACACCAATCATCGAAAGCACCAGAAAGCGCTTTCGGAAACTAACATTGAGATGTCAAAGGAATAACTTTGTATGAATAGGGCTTGTTAACTAATTACTATTGAACTTACGAATATAGAAGGACAAATTTTTTAAGAAAAATATTTGAGATTAAAGAGTACAGACAGGAAATTAGAATGGTACATTGATAAATAAAAGAGACAAGAAATGTAACTGAAGTTGAAATGCATAGGTCAGTTCATTTTTCGGAAAATACGGCTTACAATTAGATAAAGATAGTACAAATGACTACTCCACTCGCAGGAGTTCAACATCAAAAATTAGGGTAGCATTTGGTGGAATGATTCCAGGATGACCACGAGAGCCGTAGGCAAAGTCAGGAGAGCAGGTAAGTTTTGCACGTTCCCCAACACTCATCTGAAACATTTATAATAAGTCATTAGTGGGGCACAAAATTTAACAGTGACATCATTGATTACTTGGCATCTTAAAGTTTATGAGTTCATATGGCAAAATGCAATAGAGAACATTTTATCATGTTGAGGTTTAATGAAATTGAGAATATAACGCAAGATTTTGCAAACCTGTATCAGTTCATGTATTATATTACTTATGACGTATGGTCAACTGAGCCTGAGACTCAGCGATAAGATGAAGCTCCCTGTCTAGTTAAAAATTTCTCCTGTACTTAGTCCTCTTCAGCACTTGTACGCACGATGTCATAAACTAAGCCTTATTATCATCGATATATACTCTGTACTATCTAACGAGGTGTTATTTTTTAATAATCCATAATACCTTAACAGGTTATGGGCCCAGAGTGAACGTGACCATCGTGTGAAAAACAATCGTGCCGAAAAATCACGAGAACGACGAAAATTTTAGTCAAAAATTACGGGCGACATAGTGCCAACGGGCGACAAAGTGCCAACGGGCAACAAAGAGCCAATTTCGGGCAACATAGTGCCAACTAATTCGACGAAAAATTTAACGTTCGTTTTTGTGATAAAAATTTCGGGCAACAAAGTTTTTCGGTCAACACAGTGACAACTAAATTGAAATTTTTTGGTCAACACAGTGACAACTAAATTGAACTTTTCGGTCAACACAGTGACAACTAAATTGAACTTTTCGGTCAACACAGTGACAACTAAATCGAAGTTTACGTGAAACTAAATTTCCTGAAGAAATACTGTATTTTCTGGGCAAAATCGGTGCCAATCAATTTATCGGTGCGCATCAATACGCAAAACAAAAATGTCTGAATCGCACGAGTATCAGTTATTAGACATGCGGGCCGTGGATAAACTCAAAGGAAAATCAAACTATGAACTTTGGAAGTTTCAAGTGCAAATCCTTCTGGAAGAAAAGGGCGCGCTGAAAATCGCAACTGGAGAGGACCCTAAACCTGCAGCAACTGACAGACCAGATGACACAAAGTCACAGGAAGCCTGGACAAAGAAGGACGTCATTGGTAAAAGGATCATCTTTACAACACTCGAGAAGACCATCATGCCATCCATCATGTCGTGCAACTCCTCAGCTGAAATGTGGGTTCGTTTGAAAAATTTGTATGGTAGGAACCAAGAGGAACAAAAGCAAGAGTTAATCAGAGAATTTTTCAGCATTAAATTTGAAAGAGGCACGCCTATGACTCAACATGTGAGTAAAATTCAAAATATCTTTGCTCAACTTAAAGCTGTTGATCAAACAGTTAGTGATGAGATGCTCATGTCAAAAATTTTAACTACACTCCCGGAAAGTATGGAAAGCTTTGTAACATCATGGGATGTATTGTCCATTAATGAGAAAACGGTCGAGCGATTAGTCTCCAAACTTCTTTTGGCAGAGGAAAGATTAAAAACATCGAGTGAGTCTGGCGTGGCTTTTTCAACTAGTTCATCCTTAAGCTGTTATCGGTGCCATCAAGTCGGGCATTTAAAACGCAATTGTACAACAGTGCTAAAATGTGAAAATTGTGGTAAAGGTCACCTGACCCAATACTGCAGAAACAAGAAAGGTGAAAATAGTACTAGTACTTGTAGTATTTGTAATAAGGGAAACCATTCAACTGAAAAATGTTGGCATAATAAGGCCAATCAAAAAGGTAATGCAAAGAAAAATAAGCAAAACTCCAAGGGCGAAAAAGGGGTAGCATTTTCTCTTAATAAAATAAAGACCGATGGTGTGGAGTCTGATGAGTGGATTGTTGATAGCGGGGCCACGAGCCATCTCACGAATAATCTAACTGACTTGAGTGACGTAAAGAATGCTAACATCGAAATCGGTGTTGCGAAGAAGGGTAATAGTCTAAACATAACAAAAATTGGCCAAGTGTGCGCCGATGAGTGTTCGCTAACAAAAGTTCTATTCTCAGACGAAGCAGCAGGGAATCTTTTGTCAGTGAAGGCAATAACTGAAAAAGGTGGAACAGTTCTTTTTACAGAAAATGAAGTGTTAATCTCCAAAGATAACGTTGAAGTTCTTAAAGGAGAAAAAGGAGATAACGGGTTATATACAATAAAATTGCATCCTAAAATCATCGATAAAGCTCTTTCAGCAAATGTTGTAAATGATGCATGGATGTGGCATAAGCGATTGGGGCATATAGGTGCTCAAAATATGTGTAAACTTTTAAAATTGAGCGAAGGAATGAATTTACAGAAACAGCAGGTAATTGAAACTATTAAAAATTGTGAAGTCTGTATTCTCGCGAAGCAGACCAGATTACCATTTGAAAATGATAGGCATAAGGCTAGCCGACCTCTTGAAATAATTCACAGTGATGTGTGCTATGTAAGCCCACCAACCTGGGACAATAAACAGTACTTTGTAACTTTTGAGGATGATTTTTCAGGTTTTGTCCAAATTTACTTGCTTGGTGCAAAAAGTGAAGTGAGCGAGTGTGCCAAGGAATATGTGGCTGAAGTTGAGGCAAAGTTCAACTTGAAAATATCTAAACTTAGAAGTGACAATGGCGGAGAGTACGAAAGTACCGAATTTAAAAAGTGGTGTAAAAATAGAGGTATTATACTTGACAGAAGTACTCCATACACGCCTCAGTTAAACGGTACCGCTGAACGCCTGAATAGAACAATTTTGGACAAGGCCAGAGCAATGATTCTAGAATCAAAACTTGATAAAGAAATGTGGGGCGAGGCAGTTTTGGCTGCAACTTATGTTCTTAATAGAAGCCCTAAAGCAAACAAAGAAACTACTCCTTTTGAGTTGTGGTTTAACAGAAAACCAAATTTGAAAAATTTAAGAATTTTTGGCTCAACTGCATATGCAAAAATTTTAACCAGATCAGGTAAATTTGAAGAGAGAAGTGAAAAGCTAATTTTTGTTGGCTATTGTCAAAATGGGTACAGACTCTGGGACAAAGAAAAACGTGAAATTGTGTTGAGAAGAGATGTGAAGTTCATTGAAACTAATTCCCACGCCGCGGAGGATGATTATTCATCCATTATTAGTGAGCAAGACGAAAAGGACGACGCAATCTCGAACGAAAATTCTGAGCGTGAGTCAGAGCATACGGGAAGAGGCAAATCGCCAAGTGTTCAGGAATCGGATTTCGATGGGAACCAAAGCGAGAGCGAGTTGGATGATAAAGACAGCGAGTCGAGTGAGTGGCTACCGGAGTCGGATGATGATGACGAAGACCCGAGCGCTCCAGAAAATCCATCAGGGGACCGTCGCTATCCTGACCGCCCGCGACAACCGCCCGTCCGATATCCAGAGCAAGCAAGTTTGGCTGATCGCGTCATTCCTGGGTGCTCGGGTTCACCTGACCCTCAAACCTACAATGAGGCATTAGCATCTCCAGAACAGCATAAGTGGCAAGCTGCCATTAATGCTGAAACAGCAGCGTTGAAAGATAATAAAACTTGGGTTTTAGTCAACAAGAATGAAGCTAAAACTTCAAAAATTCTCTCAAGTAAATGGGTGTTTAGAACCAAAGAGGATGGTACTAAAAAGGCCAGACTCGTAGTACGGGGATTTGAGCAAGGAGACATTGATTACGGGGAAATATTCAGCCCTGTTGCCAGCATTAGTTCTATTCGAACACTTTTGGTGTTAGCCGTTGAGCGTGATATGAACATCGCCAAATTTGATATTAAATCAGCTTTTATTAACGCGGAGCTTCAAGAAAGTGTTTTTATGTACATTCCGCAAGGCTTTGAAAAATTTGAGGGTAAAATATGTAAACTGAATAAAGCACTTTATGGACTTAAACAATCACCTCAGGCATGGAACACAACTTTGACTCAGCATTTGGTAAAACAAGGGTTTAAACAGTTGAAAACTGATAGTTGTATTTTTAAGAACAAAACAAATACTGTGTTTATATCTATTCATGTTGATGACGGATTAGTTGTCTTTAAATGTAAAACTGAGCTTGACAAGTTGATAAATTTGTTAGGTAAAGACTTTGATATCAAAACAGAGGTGAATCCAACTGACTATCTTGGTATTGAGATTAAGAGAGGGGTGAGTTACATCAAAATATCTCAAAGTAAATACATTGATAACGTGTTGAAAACTTTTAACATGTATGATGCAAAAAGTGTCGAAACTCCAATGATTCCTGAAAATGTGTCTGGTAATATTTTTGAAACTGGAGAAAATCAAATTGAGGTGATCAATTTTCCGTATAGGAAAGCTGTAGGGTCACTTTTGTACCTAAGTAATAAAACTCGACCTGATATAGCATTTGCGACAAACGTCGTGAGCAGGCATCTTGACAATCCGGATAAAAGTGATGTAATTAAGGTTAAAAGGATTTTACGGTACCTTAAAGGTACAATGTCTGATGGAATAATTTTTGAAAAGAGTGGTACTTTAAACTTAAACGCGTATTCTGATGCCGATTATGGCGGGGACTTAGACACAAGAAGGAGCACCACAGGGTACGTCATTTTTATTGGAAATTCCCCTGTGTGCTGGTCATCTCGTAGGCAACATTTAGTTGCCACTTCCAGTGCAGAATCTGAACTAATGGCTGCATTTGATTGCGTGAAAACACTTGCTTATATGAGAAATCTCATGCTAGAATTAATTGATGAATATAAAGAAAATATTCTGTATGTAAATCATAACCGACTATTCATCGATAATCAAAGTACTATTAAACTGATCAAAAATGGGGTAAATGGTAAGAGATCAAAACACATGGACATAAGATTTCATTTCATTAAAGAGAAAGTCGAGAGAAACAAAGTGGAAATCAAATATATCAGCACAGATCGTCAAATTGCTGATATTCTTACAAAACCTTTGCAGAAGATCAAGTTCAATTTTCATAAGCAAAATCTGGCATTAAGGGGGTGTGTTGAGGTTTAATGAAATTGAGAATATAACACAAGATTTTGCAAACCTGTATCAGTTCATGTATTATATTACTTATGACGTATGGTCAACTGAGCCTGAGACTCAGCGATAAGATGAAGCTCCCTGTCTAGTTAAAAATTTCTCCTGTACTTAGTCCTCTTCAGCACTTGTACGCACGATGTCATAAACTAAGCCTTATTATCATCGATATATACTCTGTACTATCTAACGAGGTGTTATTTTTTAATAATCCATAATACCTTAACATATCATTATTCCAACAACTGCAAAAGAAGGTTATTTTTCCAAAAAGTTGAGCAAATTCCAAAAAATGCTCTATCATATGATGTTACTAGAAAAACCATAACAAGGGAAAGAACAAATTAAAATGAGAAAAATTTTAAAAACTTTGCGTACTCACTTGAACTAAATTTACTTATTGCAATGTGTTTTCATTTGCTGAGAAAAATAATTTTTTTTCCCCAACTTGAAAAAGCCCCTAGGGGCTTATCTCATCTGTCTAGCTTGGCAACCCAAGCACCCTACCCTGACTCTTTTTGTTGGCGTAAACAACCGCCCTTAATTGTAAATTGACCCTAAAATATAAGTGTAACTGACTAACCCTGACTCTTTTTGTTAGCGTAAACAACCGCCCTTAATTGTTAATTGACCCTAAAAAATAAGTGTAAGCGGGTATGCAAGTTTTATTTTGATTTTTTTTGGCGATATTTTATCATTTGGTTAACACAACCCTGTAAATTGTGATCATGTTGTATGAAAGAGGTAACTTCGCTGATGCTTTTGCATTTTTCAGCGCAGAATACAAGCTCAAAAAATTATATCTCAGTAGGGATTTCCAGTAATTTGGAATTTTCTCCAGAAAAAACTGGCATTTCAAGGAAAATTGTATATACTTGAAAATCGTACGAAATGGGTAAAAGTTCATTTCCAGATTCACCCAAAGAAAACGCACATGGATAATTCAATGCCTAAAAAGTTAGCCTGACCATTTTTAACAACAGGTCTGTTTGGTCAATTAACCTATTTTCAAATAATACATCCATTTGACTGATGGTTTTGAATATATAGTGAAGGATAGGCATAGGTTTGTAGATGAGAAATAGAGCTTCCTCGTGTGCCTTTAGTGGCCGGATTCAAAAGGGATTTTAAATTTATTTTAATCAGCTACCACTTTATTCTGAAAGATAATTTTTAAAAAAATGGATCTGTTGAAAAACTGTGCTTTCCAGTGTTAACTCCTTCAGCAAGACTTCTTTTGAAAAAATTATCAGATGTTGTTATGTTTCTCCTTGAATTTTGAAGTAGCTGTATTCATTTACGTGCACGTTACCTTAGCTACACCTTGGTCCCATCCTTTAATAACTTCTCCTTTGCCGATTTTGAATTTGAAAGGAGATCCTCGGTCTCGAGATGAGTCAAACTTAGTTCCGTCTTTCAATGTTCCTGTGTAGTGAACTATTACTGTCTGTCCTGTCTTTGGGTAGGTTTGTCCTGCAACACAAAACAATAGAATTAAAAAATGTCAACATACACAGTCTAAAGAATATTATACAAATTACCTGGAGAATAAAAGAAAATCCTTCGAATGAATCATTGTGACATTGCGAAACTTGGTGAGGACATAAAGGGAAATCACAAAATTACTTCTCTAAGCACTCTTTCAAATGCACTTGGGTGCCGCGGAGATTGAGAATTCCAAGACTTTTCCCCTTTTGATCATGCTGGTATGCTCGCTCAAAATCTCTATTACACAAAACCGAAAGAAAAGTGCTAGATACTGTAGTGGGTGAACTGCCTTAAAATCGTCTCGAAAAAAGAGGTGATTGTGCTGTCATGCGTTGAGTCATACAGGAAATTGGCTGGTATATTCTAATCATGGATCTAGGCTTCATCTTGGATAGTGCCATTTCAATTTATGAATAGCAACAAAATAATCTGTAGCAAAGACTCTGATGGGCCCAAGTTGAGGAATTAATTAGATAATACCAAAAGATCAAAGCGCAGTCTTACGATGGTAGCATTAGAGTGAGGTTAACTCAATAACATGAGGTAGAAATGGGAGAAAAAAGCTGATAAGAGATTTGAAGACTAAAAATTGATGAGTCGACAGACACAGAGAAATTAAAAATGAAATATTCCATGATACTGCGCAAAAAAGGACGTAACTAAAGACGACGATAGGCCAAAATGAAGCCTAGGGGCCAAACACTTCTGTCAGTCACTGATACCGGACGATCGATTGTTCTAAAATTATTGGTGAGAATTTCTCGAGGTACATACCATCTCCAGGAGAAATAGGTTCAACGTCTACGCCCATTTCTAATAAGTTGAAAGGATTCGAAGCACAATAACAGGAATAATTAGATACTAAATTACTAGCGGTAATCGCCGGAAAATACCAGGAATTTTAAAACTGAAAGACAAAGATGGCTGACAAAGAAAAAGAACAGAAGATCCGAAACGCACCGACCAACGCGGTGGAGCAACACTCAACGGCGCGTAAAAAAGAAGCGCGGGAGTTTTAAAAGAACGCTCCGATGGCAGACATGGGCGGGAGGGGTAGGTATAGTTACCCGCTCCCGCCGCAACTGGGTCGGTGCGCTAAAAGTATGAACAATGGAGATCTCGCTGCGACCAATCGTAAGTACATTTTCTTTGTATTCTTTAATTTTGAACCTCCGTTCTGATAACGCCAAGAAATAAAATTCTTCCCCTTTAATACATGTAGGGGTTTCACGCGACGTTCATATCTATGTACCTACTTAGTTCGTTGTGAGGGAAAGCTTTCTTTCAACTACACGAAATGGCATGATATTACGGACATCATGCAGTTTCTTCCTTTTTTTCTTTTTTTTAAGTTACCTAACTCTCTACTTTCTTATTGTATTTATGTATACAGGGTGTGCCAGAGTAAAACGGCCAAACTACGAACGTGTTCTATGGGTTAAATGGGATTTTTTCTTCTATGCAATTTGTTGCATGAATGCACTCAGATGGAGCTACGGCCTCCAATTTCGGGTAAATCTTTGTTTTTCTTAAACTTTGGCGATGGTTAAGGAACAAAACTCATGATAGATAACTATGCTATACTCCCCATGATTAGTTGATTTATTCATGGCTTCAAAAATATCGAAAACTCAACTCAGGGAGTCTTGGATCTTCTGGGGCAAAAACTTGGGTTTTTTGGCAAAAAAAAAAACTGCAACAGCCGTACCTCGTTGTGATGTTTTTCGAAATAACAATTTCTCATAAACAACGTTCATTTTTACAAGTCCCTGCCTGGCATTTCTCGTTGAAAAGCGCTGCTCGAAATGGTGTTCTTTCGGAAACAACGTCCTCCTTTCAATTCCTCTTCGAAAACATTATAGCGAGAAACGATCGTATTTTCGAGGCACTTGTTGAATTTTCAACAAAAGGCTCAAGGGACCGTCCAAGAGGAAAGCAGCTTCGATGTAAAAAACTAAAAAACTTAGGTTCTTCTTCGCACCATCTTGACTAGCGGCTAAATCATGTATTTGGAAGGGCTCTCTCGGCCCATAGGCCATCCAGTTCCTCGTGAACACGTACAACCGCAAATCGACGGTGAAACTACCAAACCACGTATCTCGGTTTGCGACGTCGCAGACTTCCTGTCATACTTTATTTTTTAAATGAAAAACTACTTAACGTCCAGTCTTGAATATTTCTGTGCTTTTTCCTCTTCGTGCGGAAAAAATTCTGTGAAAATTTCAAGGAATGATATTGATTTGGTCTACTTCAAAAAAATAAAATGTGAGCGTAGATTTTTAAACACCGCAAACGAGATACGTGGTTTGGTAGTTTCACCGTCGAAATGTTTGAATGATACCACGATTTGCGAGAGAAATTGTTCAGAAGGATTGTCACAGATGGGGCGGAGTAATGGTTATTACATTTAACTGGGCAAAAAGTTGTTTTCACTGTGAATGGAGACTTTGCAAAAAATATCATTGCGGCATCTGAGAGTGCTTGATGAGCAGCGTTCGCAGTATTTTTCATAATTCATTTATTATTTATTTTTTTCAAATAAGGGATAGATTATAAACAAAATAGATTTAAAAGTGAGAACATCTATTGCCTAGTGGCGTTACCAAGCGGCATTTTCCATTTGAACACATGTATTTTAAAAGATTAGGCAATGGGTCATATCGCCTCTATAATTTTAGAAACCAAAAATATTCTTGTGCTCAGTTCACTCAGTAGTTTCTTACTAAACGTGGAAATCACACAATCTCAGACACCTACATATTCTCCATATTGAAAAATGTTGAAAAGGTAGCTTTCCGTCCCCAATAGGGTGGCCCTTATTTTCGACTTTTCGGAAATTTAAAGTGCGGAACCCTGCAAATGGTTCCTTTTGGTGAGGAAATAACGGGGAAAAAATGAAAATGAAGAAAAAAAATTTTTAAATGGCGCCTCAAAGAGCCTAAAGTTGCGAGCGTGGCGTGCGAAGTCGCGTTTTTCCGTCATTTCGCGAATTTTTTTCTCCCCTTTTAAATGTTGCTACGGCTTTAAAATTTTCTTAAATGGCACATTATTTAGTGTACTTTACGAGAAAAATCACAAAATTTACCGCGCCACTTTTAAAATGCCCCCTTTCCCCCTCCAAAGTTGCCACATCGTGCGATTTCGTCGATTGTTCGTAACATTCTCCCAGCACGGTTTGCCGGAACGAGTTTAATTTTTTTGAAGAGTCAATAGCAAAAATTCTTCAGATTCTAGAAGTAGAGTGTCTACAGAGTCATCTAAGCCAAAAAGAAAACGATTCTGTTCAGCTGCTGGAAAACAAAGTCGATTTAAAGGTATATCGGGGCTGACATAGGCAAATTACCGGTGTAAAGTTCCGTTCTATTATTGAAAAGAAACGTCCTTCATACTTAAAATGCCTGAAGGTTTCTCAGATATTGTTGTTTAAAGTACTCGAACACTAATACCACCAACTTCAGGCATATCGTAAATGTTGGTGGCCTAAAACTACCCCCCAGAGCTGAAGATTGCTTTAATTTTAATTCCATGAAGCTCTCCAAAAAATGACCGGTTTTTTGGGCAGTCAATTAGGCCACCGAACGGAGTTTGAAATGGAAGCTTAAAATGACCTAAAGCTCACAGAAAAATTTCAAGATAAGGTAAGGACGGAGACAAGGAACAGTTTTCGAGTTATCGGGTTACTTGGGGGCGGGGGGGGGGGCCAATGGGACAAAAATCCAATCTAATATTTGCTGTTATCTTGTTAAAATGATGTTGCCATGGGCTTCTCATCGTTTTGCAAATGTGTTCAACATATCGATACTTCGTTATTTTAACACGTATAATTGAAATTCTATGTCAAGGAGTCGATGTTTTGATTCGTTATATCGATTTTACACTAAAAATCGGTGGTTTTCCGGGATTCAAATTCGCTATCATCGATTTACGTAAGAGATAGTAATCCGTATGAGATCAGAAAAATCGTAACCCGGTAACTCGGAAACCGTTCCTACGCTCATCTTGAAATTTTTCTGTGAGCTTTAGGTCATTTTAAGCTTCCATTTCAAACTCCGTTCGGCGGCCTAATTGACTGCCCAAAAAACCGGTCATTTTTTGGAGAGCTTCATGGAATTAAAATTTAAGCACTCTTCAGCTCTGAGGGGTAGTTTTAGGCCACCAAAATTTACGATATGCCTGAAGTTGGTGGTATTAGTATTCGAGTACTTTAAACAACAATATCTGAGAAACCTTCAGGCATTTTAAGTATGAAGGACGTTTCTTTTCAATAATAGAACGGAACTTTACACCGGTAATTTTCCTATGTCAGCCCCGATATACCTTTAAATCGACTTTAACTGGTGAAAAAAAAACCTCTTGAACCAATGCCGCATTGCATTGACTTAAGAGTGCAGTTTCTTGTCGCCGGATTTAAGAGTCTTGAATTCTTGTTTCAAGCGGATATTGCATTGATTCGTGCGGATTTTGCATTGAAACAAGAGTCCAGACTCTTAAATCCGGCGACAAGAAACGGTGCAGTTTCTTGTCGCCGGATTGTCTTGAACCAAGAGGTATTTTTTTTACCAGTTTTGTTTTCCAGCAGCTGAACAGAATCGTTTTCTTTTTGGCTTAGATGACTCGGTAGACACTCTACTTCTAGAATCTGAAGAATTTTTGCTATTGACTCTTCAAAAAATTTAAACTCGTTCCGGCAAACCGTGCTGGGAGAATGTTACGAACAATCGACGAAATCGCACGATGAGGCAACTTTGGAGGGGGAAAGGGGGCATTTTAAAAGTGGCGCGGTAAATTTTGTTATTTTTCTCGTAAAGAACTCTAAAGAATGTGCTACTTCAGAAAATTTCAAAGCCGTGGGAACAATTCAAAGGTAGAAAAAAGACACACCGTGCGGGGAGATTGTTAGGGAAAATCGCACGATGGGGCCACTTTGGAGGGAGAGAGGGGGCATTTTAAAAGTGGCGTGGTAAATTTTGTGATTTTTCTCGTAAAGTACACTAAATAATGTGCCATTTTAGAAAATTTCAAAGCCGTAGCAACATTAAAAAGGGGAGAAAAAAATTCGCGAAATGACGGAAAAACGCGACTTCGCACGCCACGCTCGCAACTTTAGGCTCTTTGAGGCGCCATTTAAAAATTTTTTTTCTTCATTTTCATTTTTTCCCCGTTATTTCCTCACCAAAAGGAACCATTTGCAGGGTTCCGCACTTTAAATTTCCAAAAAGTCGAAAATAAGGGCCACCCTAGTCCCCAAGTAGCATTTTTCAACGCAAAAATCGGGATATATTGCAATTTTATCGGCGATAAAATCGCTAGGATCATCAACTGAGCGATTATCCTCGATCTTATTAGGATGAAATCGCGATTTTATCGCCCGGCAATTGATCGCGATATTTTCGAAATAAAAATCGCGATAAATGGCAATTTAATCTCGATTTTATCGACGAAAATTGATCGCGATTTCATCGGAACAAAAATTTCGATGTGTAGCGATTTAATCGCTAAATATCGCAATTTTTAATGCGACCGTATCTTGATATATTACCACCGATATAGTTGCGATAACCAACCGATAAAATCGCTATTCATCGCGATTATTGCTACTTGGGTCTGTACGCGTCGACAACTAAAAGCAGGATTCTCTTACAAATTTTTCACAAGAAATTGTCTCCTGAATTAGCCTCGATGCGTGTGAGTCCCTTTTTCGGGGGACTGTTCGTCATTCGGACAGTGGAAGTGAAAATAGGAATTTTTACGAGCACATCGGTGACGTTGTGCCGGCTCGCCGTCAACGAGTGGGGTGGGTTGGGGACAAAAGCCGAGAAGCTGTCGTTTTTCACTCGAAACTCGAGGCTGAATCAATGGGAACGGAAGGAAACGGCGCGGTGGCACCTTCCACCTTCTGAATGGCAATAAATTTTGCAATCAGTCGGAGGCGGCGTTG